GGGGGGAGCAGGCTGCCACCCTCAGGGGAATTTGTTTTGCATGTAGTTGTTGAACTTTGATTCGGTGACTCATGCTGAGATGCAAACTTCTCCCTCCTCCCACATCTGATTGCTTTTTTCCTTTCCTTTTTTTGAACTCAAAGCTGAACTACCTTTGCAGGGGAACGTGACTTCTTGCACAGGAAGTGCAGCATTGGCATACTGTAGCTTCTAGCGGTAGTGTGGACCAGGCCTGCTGCCCTCCTCTGACTCCAGGGACCTCTGGGGGAGCTGGGTCCCTTACTGGCTGGAGAGCATCAGCGTGAAGGCTACAGGCAGCTGAGAACCGGAGGGACACACCCTGCTGGTAAGTGCAAGTGCCCAGGCCATCAGTCAACGTGGCAGGCCCTGTGCAGACTTCAGCCAAGTGGGCGGGAGGAGAGAGTCCAGAATCTCAGGGCAAGAGGAGGGCAGGTTGGAGAGCAGAACTTGGGTGAATATTTTCCTGAACAATATGACTTCTCACACCTGAAATTATTTTAAGTGCTCAAAAAAACAAGGTAAGCATCTTTAATTTCCTTTAGGCACAAGTTTTGCTCAATTTTAGCAAAGATTTTTATAAGCTTTATAGTTAAGTAGACTGTTTGCAGGTGTTTTAACAAAGCCCTCAGTGTGTGTGTGGGGGTGCTAGTGGGGATTGAACCCAGGTGTGCTTACCACTGAGCATTATCCACAGTCCTGTTTTTTAAATTTTGAGCCAGGGTCTCTCTAACTTGATGAGGCTGGCCTCAAACTTGAGATCCTCCCGCATCAGTCTTCCAGGTCTCTGGAATTACAGGCATTTCCCACTGCGCCCAGCAAGCCCTGTTTACAGATATGTTAATGTTATGAAATCAGAAGGAGTGGAATTCTTTTTACCCTGTCTCCATGCTCATGAAAGCATCGTCTATCTAGAACTTGGTTCATAGGCCTCTAGTTTTCTAGGAGAAGGTAGTTCAACTTTTCTGGGAGAAAACTAGATCCGGAAGTTTTGGCAGCAGCCCCAAACACTATTCTTCTAGAGGAGGGCTCTGTGGGCGTCAAGCAAGCTACTGAGAAAACTGAATTCAGTCTTAATTTGATTGAGGTGAAGATATTAGAAATCTCAGCTGAGCTACTAGAAATCTCAGCTTTGCCCCCATCCCCTGCAATTATGGACTTTTCTCGCAGGCTAGATGATCATCCTGCAGTCAAACCTGCCAGGTGACTAGGTCAGGATGCAGAATGCAGTAGAGGTGCTCTGCGATGTGGATCAAGGTTGTAAATACCTGTGTGTATGCCCCTACACGACCTACAGCCACACAGGGGAGCAGGGGACTGGCTCTGAGGGGAAAATGAAAGGCCAGGCAGCACATCCCCATTCTCCACAGCAGCCAAGAGGTGAACACAACCCAAGTGCCCATCGGTGGATGAATGATTGATACAATGTGTGCTGTACAGACCCAGCGGATTATTATTCAGCCTCTGAAAGGAAGGACATTCTGACATTGGCTGCAGCATGAACGAACCTCAAAGAAATTACACTAAGTAAAATAAACCACGACAAAAGAACAAGCGCTTTCTAATTGCACTGGTGGGACCTAAAGGGGCTGTGCTCATTGAGATAGTCCAGCAGTGGTCACTAGCCCTGGTGGGCAGCCGGAGAGGGGAGGTACTGTTTAATGGGTCTGGAGTTTTGGTTTTGCTGGTTGTATTTTTGGTAAATGCCATTCTGACTGGCATGAGATGAAATCTGAGAGTAGTTTTGATTTGCATTTCTCGAATTACTGGAGATGTTGAACATTTTTTCATATATTTGTTAATCAATTGTATATCTTCTTCTGAGAAGTGTCTGTTCAGCTCCTTAGCCCATTTATTAATTGGGGTTTTTTGGGGGGGGGAGGGGATGTTAAGTTTTTTGAGTTCTTTTTATGTCCTGGCGATTAGAGCTCTATGTGCTGGCGTGTGTGTGGCAAAAACTTGCTCCCAAAATGTAGGCTGTCTCTTCACCTCATTGATTGTTTCTTTTGCCAAGGAGAAGCTTTTTAGTTTGAGTCCATCCCATTTATTGCTTCTTGATTTTATTTCTTGGTTTTGCAAGGTGAAGAGTTCTGGGGATGGTGGTGAGTTGTCCAACTAGTTGTACTTAATGCTACAGATCTCGTACATTTAAAATTAGTTGGAGTGGTAAACTTTATGTTTGGCGATATTTTATCACAATTTTTGAAAATTTAAAAAATTACAAAAAAAAACAACCCAACCCTCCAAAACAAAAAAACAGTCAAACCACCAGTCCTTTGAGCTGCAATCCTTGCCTGACTGTGACTTCCTCAAAATTGAACTGACAGCTCCACTGAGAGCCTGAAGATCTGAGCTGAACCCCCAAACTTCTGCCTGGACTCTGCAGAGAAACTGGGAACACGCCACCGACTTGGAGGACTTCCAGCGGACCTAAGGTCATGGATTTAGCGCTGGCAGAGGCCACCCAGAACGGCGCTATGGCCTGAGGCGGCCGCTGGGGGGCGCCCTCCGACCTGGGCGTCAATCCTCACGGCCGGATCTTTCCCACTGGCCAGCTGTGGGCCCCAGCTGTCAGCAAAGCCTGTCTTTTCCTGTTTCCTCAATTGCATTCTGAGGAATGAGGTAGCACGTTCGGCTTCCCAGGGAGGGTGCGATTTCCTCTTGCAGTACAGGCGGCGCCGTGCACGTGGGCGCTGCTGGTTCTCTGCTTTCCTTTCCCTCTTTCTTCCTCTTTCAGTCAGTCAGCGGCCCCAGACCTTTGGCCCAAGGTCCCCAACCTAGGTCAGCTGACTCTAGAAGAAACAGATCTGACCTGACTCCCTTGTTCCACCTGCGAAGTCTGCCCCACTTCCCTTGGCTGTCCTGACAGGTGGCTCTGACTCTGGGCTCCACACCGAGTCCAGGGTGCGGTGGCCTTGACTGACCATAAGGAAGAAAGCCGTGGGATGCTGACCGTTGGGCCCGCTCATGAGGCAACCTTGAAGATGTTGTTACTAATCTGCTGTTTGTGACTTCCAGTCAAGATTTGAGGAAGGAAACGGAGATAAAGTTCTTCAGACTTTCAGATCCTAAAAATAGAAAGACCCAGCAAGCAGCTGGGGTGTGGGAGCTCATGGACCACTGCATCCAAGGGGAAATTGTCACCCAGAGGCCCAGGGAAGCTCCTGAGAACAACCCCTGACCCTGGTTACTCCCTTATTAGAAGAAATTCGTTGTAAAAGGAAAGGAAGTTGATTTTAAAGTTCCAGGGTTGGGATGGGGGTAGGGAGGACTCTCCGAAGTAGGTGAAATCTTTGTGTTAATTTTGTGTGAAAACAGCTGTCTGGGCCCATGCATAATCTTTTTGACAATCCTCAGAAAAGGAGCCCTGGGTGGTAACTTCTGGGCTTCGTGGAAAACTTCAGCTGTGAACAAGGACCTGGTGTGGTCACTCTGCCTGCCTGCCCAGCTCAAAGACCACGTCTTTTCGTTTTAGAATTGTTCATGTTTTTGTCACATCTGAATGAAAGATTATAAAATAAACAAACTCTACTCATATCTGTTCCTTTGTGATCAAAGAAAAGTCACCTGAACAGTTGTATTCTTTTTTTTTTTTTTTGTACGAGGGATTGAACTCAGGGGCACTTGAACACTGAGCCACATCCCCAGCCCTATTTTGTATTTTATTTAGAGACAGGGTCTCACTGAGTGGCTTAGTGCCTCACTTCTGCTGAGGCTGGCTTTGAACTCACTCTCCTCCTTCCTCAGCCTCTGGAGCCGCTGGAATTACAGGTGTGTGCCGCCACGCCCAGCTGAACAGTTGTATTCTTGCTTTCCATTTTTGCAATGAGATGCCACCTTCATCCTGAGGGCTCTTCAAACTGACAAGCTATTTTGGAGACATACTGATTGTCAGGCTCTGAGATTTATTAGCTATAGAACCGTCATTCTGTTCCAACCTCAGCCTCTGTTTCCTCACCTGGGTAAGGAGAACACCTGTATCTATGGTGCCTTCCCACAGGAGTGGGCTTAGCTTGGTGGAGGGGCCCATGTTCTAGGTGGGAGAAGGAACCTGAATAAAGGCCTTTGGGGTCACTGTGTGACCCCTGGTGTGAAGCTGGCCTGTCAGTTTGTTATAAAAATCTTCTGCCTGCCTGGAGTTTGGTCCAAAGCTAGACCCCAGCCAGAGGGGACAATGGTCTGGAGAGAAGTGGTCACTAGTCACAGAGAGACACAAGGCTCGACCAGAGGCCTGTGGACAAGAGATAGGAGATAGATGAAACCCGATTGCAAGGGCATGACTCCCACACAGAAGAGCTTTGGCCTTTACTCTGCACAGGGTGGAGGGCCGTGGAAGTGTTTGAGCCGTGGACTGTCTGGGTGGGGTGCAGTGGGTGGTGAAGTGGGGTGCTGGAGCACCATTGGAGACCTCCCAGGAGTCCCCAGAGTGACGGTGCAGCCCTTCCTTTGTTACCCAGTTCTGTGAGGGGCCCGTCCTTGCCTTCAATGGAAGACAAGTCATTTCTCACTTGTATTTTGAATGCACTTTTTTTTTTTCTTTTTTATCAAAAGAGTTGCCCTTATCTTCACAATTTCTTGTTTACATTTTTGGGTTCTGTTTTTCCTGAGAAGACAGTGAACAAGTTGAAACTGGATTGTGCTTGTTTTGTTTTTATGGAGCTGGGCCCCGGCACAGTGCTGGTGCAGAGTAAGTGATCCATCAAGATTTGTTCCAGGAAGAAGTGAGTGGACCTGGGCGGTGGCAGAATGAGCACCGAGGGAGGTTAGTTATGGGAAATGCCCAGAAATAGGTAACGACCCATGGGATGTAGAAGTGAGGGAGAGAGAGGAGTCACAGGACTTCCAGATGTTTTCTTTGGGCCTCTGGGGGCTGCTGTTCAATCAGATTGGGAACCCAAGGAGAAAAATATATTTGAGGAGAGAATATATATTTTGGTGATTTATTAAAGAAAAATCTAATAAACCCCTTAAATACACAAGGCACCATGCCAGGTACTGGTGACTGAGAGATGAGTAGGTCAGAATATGAATCCTTCAGTCTCTTGAGAAACATATACATGATGATCTGATGTGTGATAGCCAAGGTCATGGGCTTCGGTAGATGAGATGACCAGGGTCACATTCACTTGCTCTTTCCAAGCGATGTGTGAGCTGAATCTTGATGTTTGTGAAGCCCAAAAGAGTATGTGCATGAGAACATTCTGGGATACTTAGGAAACAGGGATAAATTCAGTGTGTCTCTAGAGAAAGGGCCAGGTGGGCCATTGGTGACTGTGACTTAGTCAGGGTCAGAGCATAGGGGATGCAGCTGCTCAGCCTGCTTAGGAATTTGGCATCTATGTTGTAGTCATCAAGGGCCCAGGGTGGGGACGACACCCGTGGGCAGGGGCTGCTGTGGCTAGATTTGTGTTAGAAATGCTGGCTCCAAGTCAGCCACAGGCAGATGGGTGAG